TATATATAATGAGAGAAAGTATATATATATATATATATATATATATATATATGTCATGAGAGAAAGTAAAATCCGACGGGGCGAACTGAGAAAAAAAGGAAAGAATGTGCTGCTTGCTTTGTTTATTTTAATTTATTGGCGCAGCTGAGAAGGTAAGAGACCCCTTCAATGTTTTTTAAAAAGGTAGCAAGCAAAAACCTGACTTTCGATGCCACCTCCTAGTTAGAAATGTTGAGAATATACTCTATAAATAAACAGTCAGCAAGAACGACCTTAAGAAAGTTGCACAAGGCTCAAAGGCACATTCAAGTGATAATTTTTTGTGATATTCTCATGGCCGACAAAAGCGCTACAAAGCAGCCAAATTCATTTACCGCAAAGCGTATGCGATAGTTGTGTTTTGCCGGTGCGAAATTCACCAAAAACTTCAGTGATTGCCTGACTTTCGATGCCACCTCCCAGCAATTTATCCAATTCTCGACTTCCTGTGGTGATCCGATAACAGAGCTTTCTTCTTTCCGACACCTCCAGTGCAGTGATAAAACCATTGTTCTGCAAAATTAGGCTATCTTGTAATCGTTTCTTGTATATGAAAACAGCAGAGTGCAAAAAAACTACGACAAATGTAAATTTTTGAAGTAACTCACCGAGAGTTTGGATGCGATTTCCTTGATTTTATCAACTTTTACCTCCGAGAGGCCTTTGATATCGCAGAGACGCTTCTTTGTGGTCATCATGATTCCTTTGATGGTGCAAATGCCAACACCTTGCAGCTTCTTGATATCAGCCACATTCTTGAAAATCAGCAGCAACAAATGAGGATTAAATAGCATCCAATACACAACAGTCTGTTAATGAGAAATAGCAAGGGGGTTGCATGAAAAAAAAGAGAGCGAGGCAAAAAATGAGGTATTTTAAGAGGGTCCACAGTGGTGCCCATTGCTCACCTCATTTTGACGCTTATCAGTTTATCTTCATTTTTCTAAACTGTGTTATTAAATGGTCCTGAATCAAAAAAAAAAAAAAAAAAAACTCGCCGGCATAGCTTATCACTCCTCCCAATCCATTTGTGGATTTCACATCCCACGATAGACAAAATTTCTTCCTCTACCGTTTAATAATATGATGTCTATCTTTCATGTTTCGGCGATCTGTACAATCATTCAAACGCTCATTTTACTTTCGAAAGATTCTAGTATCCTTTTAAATGCAAAAAACGTCGCAGAAGTAAAGCAGTGACTTACGATTCCATGGTTTTGCAGAAGCTCGATATCCTGATAGAAACTCATCTAAAAAAAGCTGCATTGAAGTTGAATAGTAAAAAGTGCCAATTTTGTTCATGCTGCCGAAAGATTTTGTTAAAGCTGTTACGGTTTTGAACTGAGATTTTCTTTTCTTCAAATTTTAAGACACAGACGACGTTTAAGTAATATCGTTCAGATCAGGCGAGAATGCAGAATCTGATGGGCAGGATATGTTGCTTGTCTTCCAGACAGATGGTGGATGCCGTTATTAGTGAGTGGTACTGGCGCTTTCGAGGAACTAAACGTTTGTTTGGATGGCCTGCGAAAAGTGACAGTGGGTATTAGCTAGAGACAAGCAGCTAAGAGAAACGATGAACC